ACTGCCCAGGTGCGATGGCCTCAAGAACAGCCCGCACATCCACGCACATGACCATCACGGAAGGTGATGTGCTGCTGCTCTTGCCGCTGACAACCCACACGGTGGCTCAGGTGCGCGAGTGTGCACAGACTGCTGGGGGTTTGCTCTTTGCTGTGGAAACCTTCACGTTCGAGTCTTGGTTTGCAGCCATGAGCTTCTTCACGCTGCACGGTTTTGCCGTATCGACTTGCATGTAATTTGATTCTACCTCAGTATATGACCAAGATGTGTACGACAAAAACTGCAATCTTGCTCAGGAGATGTGCGATGCAGCTTCCAGCGTCTGGAAGCGAACAACGGAGGTGGCGGTCTGGCTTGAAGAGAAAGTCGACCGCTGCGTGCAGCCTTCTTGGTGGCTGCAGGAGGAGAACACCGTCCTCTGTTTGCTGTGACCTCAAAGGAAGTGCGTCAGAGATGAACGACAAAAAATTGCCTGGTACCACACATGTCCAGTCGCTCAAACTGTATGCCTCAAGATCACAGGAAATGTCCTTCAGGCATATCCATGCATGAAAATAGCTGATTTCAGGTCGAGAAACTGCAAACTGGTGAAATAATAGGTGCAGAATCTCGAAAAAACTTGACGTGCATAAGTCCATATCGAAAAAAAATCGCAAATTTCAAAAATCCAAAGTAGTTATTTCCAGTTATGTATTTCGTGCGTTTTTTTGCTAAAAATAACTACAAATAACTGGAAATAACTACTTTTTAACTGCTAAGAACTGCAAGCAGTTGCTAGAGTTGCTATAGCAACTATAGTTGCTGGAAGACCTTTCCCGTAGGGATTGTGTTTTTGAACTTGGGTCTGGACTTCTCGTTTGCGCTTGCCGGACGTGGCCTCAAGGGAGCAATATCTCAGCTAAGCTAAACATTCATGAGCTGCCGCTCTGGGCATGTGACAGCCTGCGCTTTGCGTCTCTCACGCCCCTGGTAAACGTGTGAGACTCAGGCAGAAATCATGCACAAACGTTTTCTGACTTTATCCAGGCATCCGACCTCCTTCAGTCTCGCCTCTCGCGTGCAGGCCTGGAGCTTTGTCGGTTCTAGAAATCTTTTATTAGAATTGCTGTCGGGCTAGGTTCGTGGCGAGCGCTGCCGAAACCTATCAGAAGCTCTTGCTTTTCTACTTGATCAGCTGCTTTCGCTTCAATGAGCAACAGACCCACGCAGGCAAGGCAGTCTTCTTGGCCTGAAAGCTGGTTGTATGCTCGACATTTGCGCTAACGAACATTGAGGCTTCCACCAGTGGACGGTGACGTACCTCAAGTCATTTTTGCTTGAAAGCAGCGGGAAAGGTGCTAGTGGCCGGGCAGGCGCACCCACCATGGCTTAGCAAACCCCCACGGCGGCGGCTTCCACCATGGCGGAGGTGTTGAGGGCTCGGTCGGCACCTGAGTGGGCGATGTTGCGAGAGCAAGTGTACGCTCTTGGGTGGATGTGTCCGAGGCACTGGCGAGGCTCACAGCTGGTGCCGTCGGCGTCGCGGCCTGAAGAGGAACTTTGTTATGTTGCTGTATTTAAGCCCGCTGGAGGCACCTGCAGACATGGGTGTGGTGTTGGGATTGTGCGAAAGAGGCGGAGCAGGTGCCTTGCGCTTTCGCTTGAGCGTTTTCGTAGCTCCGGAGACCTGGTTTCGCTTCAGGAAGCTAAGACTCTCACAGCTCAAGCAGATGCAAGTTGGTCTGCAAGGAAACGAGGCCCTCACAGACACCTTCTTTGCAGCCGCTGGCGGCGCCTGCACACATGGATATGGTGTTGGGACTCTGTGAAAGAGGCGGAGCAGGTGCCTTGCGCTTTCGCTTGAGCATTTTCGTAGCTCCGGAGACCTGGTTTCAAGCCCAAATGCTCAGAGCTCAAGCAGAGCCAAGTTGGTCTGCAGGGAAACGAGGCTCCCACAGAAACCTTCTTTGCAGCAGCTGGAGGCACCTTTGCAGACATAGACATGGTTGCGGAATTCTGCGAGGGAGAAGGCTTTGGCTTGGCCAATGCCGTGGTCTCAGACGCCAGGTTCGAAGCTAAGACGCTCAGAGCTCGAGCAAGGCAAGTTGGTCTGAGGCGACCGCAGAAACCGTCCTGGAAGCCGCTGGGGGCACCTGCGGACAAATGATATTGTTTTAGGATTCTGTGAGGGAGAAGAGCTCTGACAGAGCTCGAGCAGAAGCAAGTTGGTCTGAGGCGCCCGCAGAAACCATTCTGAACGCCGCTGGCGGCACCTGCAGACAAATGATGTTGTTTTGGGATTCTGTGTCTCAGACGCCTGGTTTGAAGCTAAGACGCAGAGGCAAGTTGGTCTGAGGCGCCCGCAGAAAGCATCCTGGAAGCCGCTGGGGACACCTGCGGACAAATGATGTTGTTTTGGGATTCTGTGTCTCAGACGCCTGGTTTGGAGCTAAGACGCTCAAATCTCGAGCAGAGGCAAGTTGGTCTGAGGCGCCCGCAGAAAGCATCCTGGAAGCCACTGGGGACACCTGCGGACAAAGGATGTTGTTTTGGGATTCTGTGAGGGAGATGGTTCCTCTGCCTTGGCCAACGCCGTAGTCTCAGATGCCTGGTTTGAAGCTAAGACGCTCAGAGCCCGAGCAGAGGCTGGTCTGAGGCGCCTGCAGAAAGCATCCTGGAAGCCACTGGGAACGCCTGCTGACAAAGGATGTTGTTTTGGGATTCTGCGAGGGAGATGGTCCCTCTGCCTTGGCCAACGCCGTAGTCTCAGATGCCTGGTTTGAAGCTAAGAGGCTCAGAGCCCGAGCAGAGGCAAGTTGGTCTGAGGCGCCCGCAGAAACCATCCCGCTGGCGGTACCTTCAGACAAGTGATGTTGTTTTGGGATTCTGTGTCTCAGACGCCTGGTTTGAAGCTAAGACGCAGAGGCAAGTTGGTCTGAGGCGCCCTCAGAAAGCATCCTGGAAGCCGCTGGGGACACCTGCGGACAAATGATGTTGTTTTGGGGTTCTGTGAGGGTGAAGGTCCCTCTGCCTGGAGCTTCGGCTTGGCCAACGCCGTAGTCTCAGATGCCTGGTTTGAAGCTAAGACGTTCAATTCTCGAGCAGAGGCAAGTTGGTCTGAGGCGCCCGCAGAAACCATGCTGGAAGCTGTCAAGGTCGCAGCGCTACTGCCTGCTCCTGCCTGAGTGGCGACGAAGATGAAGACGGCAGAAGATAGGGGGATGATGGGGGATGACGGGGGATGATGAGGGATGATGGAGGATGATGGGGGATGATGAGGGATGATGGAGGATGATGAAGGATGATGAAAATGATGGGGGATGATGAAGATGATGGGCGAAGATGACGGATGATGGGGGATGATGAAGGATGATGAACATGATGGGGGAGGATGACAAATGATGGGGGATGATGAGGGATGATGGGGGATGATGAGGGATGGTGGGGGATGATGGGGCATGATGGGGGATGATGGGGGATGAAGAGGGATGATGAAGGATGATGAAGATGATGGGGGATGATGGGGGATATTGCGGGAAATGAGGGATGATGAGGGACGGTGGTGGAGGGCCCCTCATTTGCTTTTTGAATTTTAATGAAAATTTGAAAAAGCTTAATATCTGCAAAAAAACAAAAGCACTTTTTCAAAATGTTGAGGATTTTTTTGGCTAAAATTTTAGGAATACTGTTTTTCCCTTAAACTTTGGAAAAGGGGCCGTGTCCGTGGAGCTACCTGACCCTTTTAAAATATCTAACATCTTAAACATCCTAAAAATCTACACAACATTTTTGATTCTATGCTTAAAGGAGTTTTGTCGATTTTAAAATGCATCTAACCCTTGAAAAGACAATTGATTATGTAATTTAATCGGTCGACTAAAACAATTAGTCGCACTAAAAAATCGGCCTTGGGAAGAGGGGCCCTGGGTTTAGGAGAAGCACCAAACGATTTAAATTTTAAAAATCCTTCAAAACCTTAAAAATAAAACCAAAATAATACATTGTTTACGCATATAATCCTTACACAAAATGAATGCGAGGCCGAATATTTGTTTAAGGATTTTATGTATTCTAAAATCGACTAAAATCCTGAAAAAATAAAATATTTTGATTTTATTCTTCAAATCTGCCGATTAAGAAATTTAATTGCGCAAGAAAATCCGCCTTAAGAATGGGAGCTTTGGTTTTAGGGAAAGCCCCAAATCGATTCAATTGTTCGAAAAACCCTTAAAATCCTTCAACAAATCAACATAATTTATTGTTTTACGGATTTTCAGGATTTTATTCGATTTGAAAATGCATAAACAAACTAACATGCGAGGCCGAATATTGTTCTAGGAGAAGCCCCACACGATTTAAATTTTTAAAACCCCTTAAAATCCATAACAAATAAAATCAGAATAATTTATTTTTTGAGGATTTCAAGGATTTTAGTTGATTTTAAAATGCGTAAAATCCTTTAAAAATAAAATCGAGGCCGAATATTGTTTTAGGAGAAGCCCCGAACGATTCAAATATTTAAAAACCCTTCAAACCCATTAAAAAAACACAATCAAAATAATTTATTTTTTAAGGATTTTAAGGATTTTAGTCGAGTTTAAAATTCATAAAATCCTAAAAAAAATAAAATCCGAGGCCGAATATGTTTTTTAAGGATTTTATGCATTTTAAAATCGACTAAAATCCTTAAAATCCATAAAGAATAAGTATTTTGATTTTGTTTTTTATGGATTCTAAGGATTTTTAAAAATTTAAATCGCTTGGGGCTTCTCCTAAAAAAATGCATCGGGTTTTTTTTGTTTATGGATTTTATGTACTTAAAAAGCGAAAAAAAACCTTAAAATCCTCAAAAAATATACCTTGAAGTCCGTGAGGTCGAGGCCAAGCACTACGCCAAATGGGCCCTAAAGGTCCTACATACCTTGTTCTAAACCCTGAAGATGCACTATAAGAACTCACAAAAACTTAAGACATAAACCCTAAACTCCCTAAACCCTAAAGTTCGGAGTGCAAAAGCAGGCCTCTCGACGGTCCCGAGAAAGTCCTTGAAGAACAACCTGCTGGACTGCTCAATAGGATTTCGGGCCTTAAACCCTAAACCCTAAACCCTAAACTTACCAGTGAGAATGGCAAGTCAAATGTAAGCCCTCAAATTTCGAACCTGGAGGAACGACTCTAACCGGTACTCACATGGTAGGGTGCAATCTCGGCTTTGCTTTGCAGCTCTAGGGTTTTTAGGGTTCAGGGTTTAGGAGTAGCCCTAAACCCTAAACCCTAACCCTAAACCCTAAACCCTAAACGGAGTCGTAGGGTTTAAGGTGGCAGTACTTGCTTGCAAGGCCTCAGCATCCAGCGCGCCCCGGATGTATCTGACCTGTGGAGAAACTGTCTCTAAGAAAATATTCAAAACAGGGTTTAGGGTTTAGGGTTTATGGTTTAGGGCCCCCCTTAGAAGAAATGAAGGGGATCTGCAAAAACCCTTGCTTATAGCTTAAGGGGTATGGGTCTGGGGTATCTGGAATTAGTCTTAGACTCCCAACCTACGCTACTTAAGCACCCAAGGCATACCTACTTTCCGGTAGGTTTGTCGGACTCCACCAAGAAGTTGCTTTCTGGTTCTTGCGGTGTGTGCATATATACACATGAATCACATGTGTATATATACACAGAAAACATGACATACATTACAAAAAAACAGATATTCATCTAAATATGATACACAATACATTATAAATATGAATGCAAATAGAACCTAAACATATAAACCTTGTGTAAATACCAACACAAACTCCAGAGTGTTGGGCCTGTGCTCGTGGATTGGAGGAGGAGTTGTTGGCCAAGCGCTCTGAAACCGCTGCTAATGCCTCGGCAGCACAGGTTGGGGGGGGGGGGGGGGGGGGGGGGGTGGGTGGCTTAAATAGGGTCTATTTGGAAGCTGGGACTCGGGTTTTCTTATAGCCATACACGTTTCCACGAGGGTACGCTGCTGTCACGTCAGTCGTACTATGGAGGCCTCAGGAACAAGAACCAGGTAGTTCCTCTTTTCTCTTCTCTTTTTCTCCTCAATCCTAAAGTCGAAGGCTCTCGTGAGGAGAAGAGAAGGGAGAGAAGGAGGGAAAGATAAGAGGAACACGATTTTCATGGGAAGAGCCAAGAAAAGAATAGAAGAGAGATAAAACAAGGCGCAAAGAAGATGGTACTCTTCTTTATCTATCCTCTCTCCCTTATCTCTCTGTTCCCTCTGTCTTTTCGAAATGAGAAAAACAAAAAGAAAGATGAAAAGAAGAAGGGTTAGGAAAAGAGCCGAAGAGATAGGCCGAAAAGAGGGGTATGGTGAAGTACGGCAAAGGTCCACGCACAAGGAGTCACCTTCTGCTTACCCTTCCACTGCTTGATTTTACAAGCTCCTTTCTTGTGTTTTATCAGTTAAAATTAAAAGGAAACAGAAGGAGAGAAGGGAAAGGGAAGTGAGAGAGGAGAGACAACAAGGAGGCCATTTTAATTTCCTGTGAGTTATCAAAAGGAATGCAATATTATGGGAAGAGCAATGGAAAAAAAGAGTGGAAGAGAAATTAAGACAGGAGAGGGAGGTGCAAAAATAAGGCAAAGAGAAGATGGTGCCGTTTTCATCTCACCTCTCGTTCTTATCTTCCTCTTCTCTGGTTCTTTTCCCTGTGAAATAAAAAAACAAAAGGAAGGACAATGAACATATAAAGGAACCCGTTTTCGTTTTCCGTTTGGGCACAAGGAAAAAAACAGAGGCGATAGGGCGAGAGGAGGGGTTTGCTGAAGCATGGGGAGGGTGTACGGGCAAGGGGCCAACTCCGCCCACTTCCCCCATCCATTGAAAGAGGAAAAGGAACAGGGCCTCCATTCCCCTCTTATTCTTCCTTTCTTGCGTTTTTGTCGTTTAGAAGGGAACAGGAGAAGAGGAGGGAGAGAGAAGGAGAGAGGAGACATAAAAAGGGTTGCATTTTTAATGGGAAGAGCAAAGAAAAGACCAGAAGAGAGATGATGGGAGAAGAGGGGGAGACAAAACAAGGCGCACAGAAAATGGGCAGATAAGAAGAGAGGAAAGGGAATGACCAAGTACAATGAGGAGTTCTTCAATTTCCCTCCCTATCTCTTATGTTACTTTTCCTTCTTGTGGGGTGTCCCTTTTTCTCTTGAAGATGCAGAAAACGATTGAAAAGGACACCCGTTCCATCGCCCATATGTAGGGAAAAAGAGAGAGAATCATGAGCATCAGCTGGGCTTGCTGCCAATCCAACATGGGCGTCCCTTTTAATCGCATTCTGTGTCCTTTTTTCTCGCTTGAAGATGCAGAAAACGATCCAAAAGCACATCTGTTGGAGGAAGAGAGAAGGAGAGAGGAGAGATACCAAGGATTGCATATTTAATGGGAAGAGCAAGGAAGAGAATAGAAGACAGATGAATAGAGAAGATGGCGCTCTTCTTTATCTATTCTCTCTCCCTTGTTTCTCCCTTCCCTCTTTCTTTTCGAAATGAGAAAAACAAAAAGGAAGAACTATGAGAAGGAGAAGAGTAAGGAAAGGAACAGAAGAGATAGGCCGAGAGGATGAATATGATGGAGTATTATGGAAAGGCTCACGCGCAAGGAGTCACCCTCTGCTTACCTTTTCACTGCTTTATCATATGAGTTCCTTTCTTGTGTTTTATCAGTTAAAAGGAAGCGGAAGAAGAGAAGGTAAAGGGAAGTGAGAGAGGAAAGATAACAAGGATGCTATGTTTCCCGAAGCGTGCTGCAAGGAATAGAAGAGACAGGAAGCAAGGAGACGGAATCACAAAATAAGGCGCAAAGCTGTACATATCATCTCTCCCTTGTCTCTCCCTATTCCCTTTCGAACTAGAAAAAACCATTCTTGCTTTTCACAGATAGGTTCCCTCTCTCCTCTTCAGGAAATCCCCTTTCCCTTATGTTGCTTTTTGAAGCGAATAAGAAAAATAGCAGATAAGAAGAGAGGAAAGGGTCAATTTCCCTCCCTATCTCTTATGTTGCTTTTCCTTCTTGTGGGGTGTCCCTGTTTCTCTTGAAGATGCAGAAAACGATTGAAAAGGACACCCGTTCCATCGCCCATGTGTAGGGAAAGAGAGAGAATCATGAGCATCAGCTGGGCTTGCTGCCAATCCAACATGGGCGTCCCTTTTAATCGCAGTCTGTGTCCTTTTTTCTCGCTTGAAGATGCAGAAAACGATCCAAAAGCACATCTGTTGGAGGAAGAGAGAAGGAGAGAGGAGAGATACCAAGGATTGCATATTTAATGGGAAGAGCAAGGAAGAGAATAGAAGACAGATGAATAGAGAAGAGGGAGAGACAAAACAAGGCGCAGAGAAGATGGCACTCTTCTTTATCTATTCTCTCTCCCTTGTTTCTCCCTTCCCTCTTTCTTTTCGAAATGAGAAAAACAAAAAGGAAGAACTATGAGAAGGAGAAGAGTAAGGAAAGGAACAGAAGAGATAGGCCGAGAGGATGAATATGATGGAGTATTATGGAAAGGCTCACGCGCAAGGAGTCACCCTCTGCTTACCTTTCCACTGCTTTATCATATGAGTTCCTTTCTTGTGTTTTATCAGTTAAAAGGAAGCAGAAGAGAAGGGAAAAGCAAAAATTGAGCCCAACATTTTAGGACCAGGGCTTGCGATCTGACTCTTTGGAGCAAAAATCGATTCCAAAATCTTAGGGACCAGGGCTTGCGATGTTACTCTTTGGAGCAAGAAATGAGCCCAAAATCTTAAAGACCGGGGCTTGCGATTTCACCTTTTGGAGCAAATACTGGGCCCAAAATCTTAGGGACCAGGGCTTGCAATTTGACTCCGTGGAGCACAAATCGACCCCGAAATCTTAGGGACCAGGGCTTGCGATTTGACTCTGTGGAGCACAAATCGACCCCGAAAACTTAGGGACCAGGGCTTGCGATTTGACTCTTTGGAGCAAAAATCGACCCAAAAATCTAAGGGACCAGGGCTTGCGATTTTACTCTTTGGCGCAAAAACTGGGCCCCAAATCTTAGGGACCAGGGCTTGCGATGTCACTCTTTGGAGCAAAATTGAACCCAAAGTCTTAGGGACCAGGGCTTGCGATTTGACTCTTTGGAGCAAAAACTGGGCCCAAAATCTTAGGGAGCAGGGTTTGCGATTTGACTCTTTGGAGCAAAAACTGGGCCCCAAATCTTAGGGACCAGGGCTTGCGGTGTCACTCTTTGGAGCAAAAATTGAACCCAAAATCTTAGGGACCAGGGCTTGCGATTTGACTCTTTGAACCAAAAACTGGGCCCAAAATCTTAGGGACAAGGGCTTGCGATGTCACTCTTTGGAGCAAAAAATGAACCCAAAATCTTAGGGACCAGGGCTTGCGATTTGACTCTTTGGAGCAAAAACTGGCCCCAATCTTAGGGACCAGGGCTTGCGATTTGACTCTTTGGAGCAAAAATTGAACCCAAAATCTTAGGGACCAGGGCTTGCGATTTGACTCTTCGGAGCAAAAACTGGGCCCAAGATCTTAGGGACCAGGGCTTGCGATGTCACTCTTTGGAGCAACAATGAATGCAAAATCTTAGGGACCAGGGCCTGCGATTTGACTCTTTGGAGCAAAAATTGAACCCAAAATCTTAGGGACCAGGGCTTGCGATTTGACTCTTTGGAGCAAAAACTGGGCCCAAGATCTTAGGGGCCAGGGCTTGCGATGTCACTCTTTGGAGCAAAAATGAACCCAAAATCTTAGGGACCAGGGCTTGCGATTTGACTCTTTGAAGCAAAAACTGGGCCCCAAATCTTAGGGACCAGGGCTTGCGATGTCACTGTTTGGAGCAAAAAACGAACCCAAAATCTTAAGGACCAGGGCTTGCGATGTCACTCTTTGGAGCAAAAATTGAACCCAAAATCTTAGGGACCAGGACTTGCGATGTCACTCTTTGGAGCAAAAACTGGGCCCCAAATCTTGGGGACCAGGGCTTGCGATGTCACTCTTTGGAGCAAAAAATGAACCCAAAATCTTAGGGACCAGGGCTTGCGATTTGACTCTTTGGAGCAAAAACTGGGCCCCAAATCTTCGGGACCAGGGCTTGCGATGTCACTCTTTGGAGCAAAAAACGAACCCAAAATCTTAAGGACCAGGGCTTGCGATGTCACTCTTTGGAGCAAAAATTGAACCCAAAATCTTAGGGACCAGGACTTGCGATGTCACTCTTTGTAGCAAAAACTGGGCCCCAAATCTTAGGGACCAGGGCTTGCGATTTGACTCTTTGGAGCAAAAATTGAACCCAAAATCTTAGGGACCAGGGCTTGCGATTTGACTCTTCGGAGCAAAAACTGGGCCCCAAATCTTAGGGACCAGGGCTTGCGATGTTACTCTTTGGAGCAAATATTGAACCCAAAATCTTAGGGACCAGGGCTTGCGATTTGACCCTTTGGAGCAAAAACTGGGCCCAAAATCTTAGGGACCAGGGCTTGCGATTTGACTCTTTGGAGCAACTTGGCCCAAGATCTTAGGGACCAGGGCTTGCGATGTCACTCTTTTGGGCAAGAAATGAGCCCAAAATCTTAGGGAGCAGGGCTTGCGATTTGACCCTTTGGAGCAAAAAACTGTGCCCCAAATCCTAGGGACCAGGGCTTGCGGTTTGACTCTGTGGAGCAAAAATTGAACCCGAAATCTTCGGGACCAGGGCTTGCGATTTGACTCTTCGGAGCAAGAAATGAGCCCAAAATCTTAAGGACCAGGGCTTGCTTTGGAGCAAAAAACTGAGTCCAAAATCTTAGGGACCAGGGCTTGCGATTTGACTCTTTGGAGCAAAAACTGTGCCCCAAATAATAGGGACCAGGGCTTGCGATGTTACTCTTTGGGGCA